GCAGTTCTGGAGTCCTCTTTCGTGAGGGTCTTCCTGAGATGTGACACAAACATGGTGAGTGTTGCTGGCTAGCGCTGTCCCACAGCATGGCAGGCCAATGAAAACACAGCATTGTGTGCTCAGGTACTTCCTCCACCAGGTCTGGCACCCTGACGCTTCTGGCTCTTCCCCAAAGTCAGGATGACCCAGAAAGATGGACATTTTTAATCAGTTCAGGACATCGAGGCAGCCAGGACAGCACAACTACAGACCCTCAGGAAAGAGGAGTCCAGAACTGCTGCAGAAAGTGGCAGGAACCATGGGACGAGTGCATTTGGGGGTGGGAGGGATGAATGACAACATGACTTTTACTATGATAAATTTTTTTAAAAATTTAAATATTCACCATATTTTTCTATCACATGGCAGATACATATCTAGTGCCAAGATGTTTGCAGTGTCATAAAAGAGATCTACTGATAGACCCATAACTGCCACATTTCCATTTTAAAGGTATATTTGTGCATAGAAAACGTATAGAAGATTACACACAAAATATATGCAGCGATTATCTTTGAAAAATAGATTTACAGGTGATTTTAATTTGCTGGGGGGTTTCACTTAAAATGTACATTCTATATTTTTAAAAAATGATAAACACATATCACTTCTGTAATAAGGGGGAAAGCTTTTATTACCAACATGGAGACTATCATACGAAACACAAGGCACAGACCCCAGCAGCACTTGGTGGCTCTCTGGTGGTCCAGCTGGCTCGGGCAGCACAAGCGCGTGCGCACACACACACACACATATGCACACGCACACGCACGCACGCATGCGCGCCAGCCCAAGTTGATGGGAGGGGCAGCCACCTGCGGTGCTGGTGCCCTGGAGGGAAGGCAGCCGGTGTTCTGGAGTAAGGGTCACGGTGCTTCTCCCATCGCAGGCCCCACCTCCAAGCGCCTGACTCTCCCTGCAGCCATCTGTCCCCTCCGCACCCCCCATAACCAGTGCAAGGCGCACCTCCCCCAGGAAGCCCTCCTGGCCTGCCCGTCCTATGGTCCTGTGTTGGACGCTTGGGTCTTTCTGCTCTGGGTCTGTGCCCCTTGTGCCTCCCACACGGAGCCCCGGGCGCACGGTCTGGCTGCATTTGCGTCTCCAGCTCTACCCCATGTCTGGCCCGGGGAGTGCTGAATTGAAGGTTGTGTTGGAGGTGCCCTGTGACCCCAACTTCAGGCCTTCCCCTTTGTCCTGCTCAGCGAGCACTGGGACGCCGAGTCACCTGCCCGGCCCTCGGGGAACCAGGGTACTCCTTCGGCTGCCCCTGCCCAGCCCCCAAGCAGCTGGGCCTGTCCAGGGCTTTGCTCCCAGGGGAGGGGACCCATTGCATCTCTGCGCCTGGAGACACCCTGAAACCAGAACAGCGGCAGGACCCTCCTGTCCCCAGCGGGGGAGCCCTAGAACTAGCGTGGATGGGCGTCCTACCGTGAAGGCTGAGTCGGTGGGGACAGCGACCTGCGTCTTCTGGGAGCAGAGGGGTGTCCAGAGTGGCTGTCGTCAGCGGAAGCCACCCTGGCCCTGATCAAAGTTCCAGGCAGTGGTTCCTCCCCTGACATGGCTCTAGCGTTCCCGGAACGTCACCAAGGACACGGGGCAAGGTCTGAAGGTTACCCAATGACCCCACGGACAGATGCCTGGCGGGGCCGAATCCCACAAAGGGTCACGGATGTGGCGCGATCGGGCCTGGAGTGGGTCTAGAATGTCCCCCCTGTGCTGGGGGAGGCTGGGCCCAGGAGTCGCGCTCACCCCACTTGCTGTGAACAGAGAGGGTCTGGGGTCTCCCTCTGCCAGCAGCAGCCCCAGGCACCTGCCCAGCTCCGCACCCCAGAGAGAAACCCTAAGAGCGGCGTGGCTCTGGATTCTGTCTGCTGATTGGTTCACTTAGCGAGCTTTCCAAAGCCGGTCTGAACTGAGAGTTCTAGGAAGTGAGTGTGTCCCATATAAAGTGGGACACTCACTAAGGACTCCCCAGGAACAAAAGCAGCAGCTTCGGGAGGTAGGGATGCGCTGTCTCCGGAGGTCTCCAATCGGCAGGGTGAAGAGTGTGCAGTGAGCGTGTGTGTCGGTGTGCGTAGAATGCAAGGTGTACAACACGCAGGGCGACCAAGACTGAAAACTGGGGTCGCTGCCAACGACAGCACTACCATTCCAAGTAATCTGGTAGTTTTTGTTTCTTTGGGTTTTTTTGTTTTTTGTTTTTTGTTTTTTTTTTTTGGTGACAGGGTCTCACTCTTCAATCCAAGCTGGCCTTGAACTCACTATGTAGCCCAGGCTGGCCTTGAACTTGTGGTGATCCTCCTGCCTCAGCCTCCCAAGTGCTGGGATCACGTCGCGCACCACCGCGCCTCACGCAGTCTGACGGCTTCTCACCTGTGCATGGTATTAATGTCTACCTCATCTTCACCACAGGAGCATTTCTTTAGCACATGGCAGACCACAGCCAGCACGCAGTAGAGGGCTGGGGGACAATGGTGAGGTAGCTTGGCACGAGGCAGGTTCCAAGTCCACACCCGGGGGAGGGCAGCGGAGCTGTGGGGAGCAGCGGGGTTTACAGAGCAGCCCGGCCCCACCCCAGGGACTCCCGGGCTGGCCAGCACGGACGTTGGCTCTCTGAGTGGGCTCTCAGGGTGTCCACGCCCCGGGACCAGCCTGCCCGCCTTCAGGGTGCCCCGGAGCACGCGTTCGGTCAGCGTTCGAGTCCCGGCTCCTCAGGAACTGGCCAGTTCTCGCACAAGTGGTTTAATGTGCACAAGTCCCTGCGGGGCGGGTGTGCGTGTGCCTGTGTGCGTGCACGTGGGTGAGATCAAACCGCAGATGTGTGCTGCTGGATGGACCCCGGGCACACTGTGCAAGAGCAGGGAGATGTGTGTGAGGAACTCCTGGTGCCTTCCAGGACAGAAGTGATAAAAATACCTCCTCCCCGGTACCCAAGATCCCACACACTCACCCCCACGGTTTAGGGGCAGGCAGCAAGGCCCTGCACCATCATCGTGGGGTGTAGCCCTGGAATATGCAGAACATTACTGACCCCTGTCCTGACCCAACCTCCAGCACCAGACATCCAAGAAGCCTGTGAAGACGAACAGGTTGGCAGAGGCTTATAATCCCAGTGGTCTAGGAGGCTGAGGCAGGAGGATCTCAGGTTGGAGCCCAGCCTTACCAACTGAGCAATTTAACAAGACCTTATTTCAAATGTAAAAAAGTAAAAATAGAAAAGGGCTGGGGATGTACCTCAGTGCAAAGGCCCTGGGGTCAATGCTCAGTATTGAAGAAAAACAGAGACAGAGAGAGAGAGACTGTGGGGTACGGGAGCAGCAAGCCACCGCCTGACCCGTGGTAGCTCCTGGCCTCAAAGAGGCGGGGATGCCTGACTTCCAGGAGCACCATGGTCCACACAGGTCATGGAGCCCGGAGCTGAGCACCAGTGCAAGCCCGGAGGGAGCCGGCTGCTCGGCCCTGCAGCAAGAGCAGGTATGTGCATGAGCCATGGAGCGTTCTTCCCACAAAGACCGACTCCAGCCTGGGAGTCCGGAAGCCACGGCTGCACATCAGCTTGGTGCACAGCTCACGAGGCAACTTTGGAAGTTCATGTCCCGCCTTGAGCTCACTTTCTTCATCTTTAAAATGGGTTGCATCTATCCTTGCTTTGCTTTGCTTTGGTTTGGTTTTGGTTTTTTGAGACAGGGTCTTGCTATGTAGTTTAGGCTGGCTTTGAACTCACTATGGAGTCAAAGCTGGTCTTGAACTCAGGGTGATCCTCCTGCCTCAGCCTCCTGGGTACTGCCGCAATGCTGGCTCATGAAAAGGGTTTCTTGTTTTGTTTTTTTAACAGAACTAGGGACCAAACCCAGGGCTTACACAGGCCAGGCTCTACCCTGGGTACCTCCCCACTCCATTCGTAACTCCCTTCTGGCCTTGGTGGCCCTGAGGGACATCATGTGTCACACCCCTTTCCCTCTCTGCTCACTTCCCAGGGTCACTGTCTTTGGGGACCCATCCAGGCCCCGCTGGATGAGAGCGATGGGTTGTTATGGTTTGTGTCTGCATGTCCCCGCGTATCCTCATGCGGTCATGGGGCGGGCTTCTAGAGTTTTGATTCATGGTTGTGAGTGCTACACCGCCCTGGGGCAGAGGGTTTGCATATATGTAAGGGAGCGGAAGAGGCTGCTTGCCGCCACTCCTCCCTTTTGCACTTGTTGCTTTTGCTGTGTTCTGCTGCCATGAAGTGTAGCCCTCTGCCATGTGCCACTCTGCCTTGGAGCCAGCCAAGTACGGACTGAAACCTCCACAGACTGTGAGCTAAATAAACCTTTCCTTCCTTAATTCTGGGTGTCAGGTATTTTGTCTTAGCAGCGAGAGAAAAGTAACCAAGACACAGGTGCGGAAGACGGGCTTGAACCCCCCCCCTGCACCCACAGAGAACACACGCTCCTGTGCAGACCATTTATTGAGGATTCTGGCACCAAGCAGGTCACAAGCAAGAAGCGGATCCCATCCTGCCCAGCGGAGCTCGCACTGGGGAGACGGGGGAAGGGGTGGGATAGGACAGAGAGGCAGTGCCACCCTCCCTCCTTGTTGTCTGCTTGTTTGAGACAGGCTTGCACTATATAGTCCAGGCTGGCCTTGAACTCACTAGGTGGCCCAAATTGGCCTCAAACTCACTGCGATTCTCCTGCCTCAGCCTCCTGAGTGCTGTTGGGAATGGCCTGGCTGTCTGGGAAGAGTTCTAAGAACTCAGTTGTGCCTCTGTGTCCCAAGAGGAGAAATGGAATACACACAGCCAGCAACCCCAGGAGAGAGCGTTTCCCCTTCCGCAGACAAGCGCGACCCTTCCCTGTGTTTATAAAGCCTGTGGCCCCAGTGGACTGGGTGAGGCCCCAGTGACTGAGACTATGGGGTCCCAGCAGGTAGCACCCACTTTCCCAAGGCCCCAGACGGCCCAGAGATCTTGTACAAAGGTTGGAAAGCGACATAAACTCACTGCAGATTTTAAAATGTGCACAACAGGAAGCAGTCTCAGGCCACATCTCAAGGGATACGGGCGGTTCTCACATCAGGGTTGTCCCCAGGGTTCAAAGCAGAGTCCATCAAGGGCTTTGAAGGCACTCTGCACAGTGAGTGCTTTTTAAAACAGAGGCCCTAGCCAGCTGTGGTGGTGGATGCCTGGAATCCCAGCATTCAGGAGGCTGAGGCAGGAGGATCTCGAGTTCTAGGCCAGCCTGGGCTACATAGCTGTCTCAAAAACAAAACGAAACCAAAAAGCTGGTGGTCCTAGTTGTCTTTAATCCCCTTTCCTCCAACCTTGATCCCAGCCTCCACGGCACACGAAGGCTGCTGACGACCAGCAAGCGGGCCTAGAAGCCTTGGGCACGGGAGGAAGGGACCTGCTGTCCCCTACTCAGCTCTCCAGGACTGGGGAGCAGGTCATTCCCGCCCCGATAGCTGAATACACACTGTCCCCGCAGGAAGGGGCCCTCCTGGCTTGTCCCCAGTGCCCTGACCAGACGACGCACCCGGGGAGGGCAGGCCCGGTGGAACATCCAACCGCTCACCGGCAGGGACAGGTGAGGTCCGAAGGCTCCCAGAAAGGTCCCTGCCCGCACCTGGCTGGGGCAGGACAGCTGTCCCCAGGTCAGCCCCAGGCCAGCTCCAGGCCAGTAAAGATGGCACAGCAGATGCAGACACCCCAACTTCCTGTTGAGACCAGCAGGGATCCTGGGCGCTGGTCCCCACCTCCTCCATCCCGGCCGCTCGTGCCTGGGCAGCAAGCTGCCATGACACTGGCCTACAGGGCAAGGTGCCGCACGCTTCCTTCTGTCTGGGGAGCAGGCCCTCGCCACACCCAGGCCACTGCCTGAGCTGGGGCGCAGTTCCTTTGGGCCTGGCAGCTGTGGCACATGACCTCCAGCTGCTACGGCTGTTTGGGAAACACCTTGCAGGCCCAGGTGTGCCTTGGGGCCACGGTATCTCCTGAGGGACATCAGGTCCCTGCGACAGGAAGTAGAAAACTGTCAAGTGCACACTGGTTCTTATAAACACTCCTTCCTGGACTGGCAGTGTCAGGGATGAGACGGGAGGCCTGGTCCCCCTGCAGTAGGGGGACTTCTTACTCACCTTGTAGAACAGAGGGAACTAATACTAATAAAAGCCCCTCAGGGAACCAGGCCTGATAGAGCATTTCAACACTCTGGGAGGCTGAGGCAGGAGGATCCCAAATTCAAACCCAGCCTGAGCAGTTTAACAACTTAGCAAGACTCTGTCTCAAAATTAAGGGCTGGATGTAGCTCAATTGAAGTCCCAATACCAAAGGAAAATAAAAAGATAAATAAAAGCCCACTGGGTTTCCAAAGCCCTGTGCTCAGCTGAAGTTCTTTCCTGGGTGACACAGAAACCTGAAATTCTCTGACGTCACAAGTTTTACTTCTGAACTACAGTTGTCCAGAAAAAGACACTCACTGCCTTGAGCATAGTGTTGCTCTCCAGAACTAGAGATTGAATGCAAGGACTCACGCAATGAACACACTCTACATTCCCAGACAGGGCCTCCTTAAGTGGCCCAGGCTGGCCTCAAATTTAGGATCCTCCTGCCTCTGCCTCCTGGATAGCACCCGGCCAATATAATGTCTTTAACATGTATGAACATGTGCAGCAGGAAGGGCAGTATCCACGTGACTATAACTCAAAGGAGAAGACGCCCTGGATGCCCCGATGCATGCCCAGACCTCGGGCAGGAGGAGCTCCCGTGGCCCTGTCCGTGGGCGCTACAGCTGCTGTCTGCGGAAACGCTGAGGTTTACTGCTGCTGACTCATGCTCATGGAGAACTTCACCGTGGCTTTAGCGGGACTCCTGGTTCCCATTAGATTTGGACGCTCAGGGAGAAGATCTCATCTGTGAGCTATTTCGCTTCCCCCAAGTGGAGATGAAAATTGCAAACAGACACAGGAGCGTCATGCCCATAAAAGGCGGGGCAGAGGGGCGCGCGAGGAGTGGCGGTTGGCTGGCCGGAAGGGGCTGCGGGTGCACGGGCTTCCCGGACGCAGTATGATCTCAGGGCTCTTGGGGTTCCTAGGATCACCTGTGCTGGCCAGAGCCTCAGTCGTGTCACAGCCACAGCTTCTCCTCCACCCTGGCCACTGAGCTTCACAGGGACTGGTGTGGGACTGGGTGACGAAACCTGGTCCCTGCTAACAGCACTGCTGCCAGAAGGCCAGCACGCTGGTGAAATCCGGGGACACAGGAGTGTGTGTGTGTGTGTGTGTGTGTGTGTGTGTTGTTTTGGAGACAATTTTACTATGTAGTTCAGGTTAGCCTTGAATGCATGGTGATCCTCCTGCCTCAGCCTCCCAAGAGCTGGGATTCCGGGCACGCACCACCATGCCCGGCGACATTCTATTTCTTGGTCTGATGTCGGCTACATGATGTGCTCAGCTTGTGGAACCCACCCAGCTGTCCACAATCACACCCTGCTCTGAGTGTGAATATTAACTCCAACATAAACTCAGAAGGGAAAACCCTCAGGTGGGTGGAGAACACCGGGGCAACGAGTTCCCCGCTCCATCCAGGACCCATCGGCTGCTTTCACGTTTTCAGAAGTCAGAAACTCTACACGATTTTATTCCAGAAAGGCTGACATTTTCCAGTTTGGACATCCTCTACAAGGTGAACTGTCGTGCTGGTGCCTCTCCCGCTCCTCCTGGTGACGGTCACCGGGAAGGAGAGGACAGCGCTGTGCGGGAGGCCGGTGGCCGGGGCCCCCCCCGCGGTGGAGCCGGAGCACTGCCCAGGGCAGAAGGAAGACCGCAGCCTGGTTCTCAGCTTCCTGCGGAGAGAGCTCACGCTGCCTTAGAAGCAGAAAATCAAGGGGGAGGTTTTCATCGGAGGGACGGCGTCAAGCCAGCACACAGGGAGAGAAGCAAGAGCGGGGTCAGGACTTCCGGAACCTGGAGGAGGGAGGGCCCGGGAAGCATCCCGTGCCAGCGCCAGCGGGTGGGCTGGGGCGGGGACAGCTGTTCTTGGAGAGAAGCGGGGGGCAAGCACATGACCTGGGGCGCCCCCAGACCTCCCGATGGCCCGGTGGGTCTCGCTGAGGAACAAGGTCCTTCCAGACCCGCCTCTCTCCAGCGCGGCCCAGGGCTGCGGGCGGCACCCTCACGCTCCGGGTCCCGCCGTGCCCCCCGCCTGGGCCGGCTGCCGCCGCCTCCCTAGCACTCGTTGGGGCCCTTCATCTGCATCATGACGGTCTGGCTCCTCTTCTTGCAGCAGCAGCAGTAGATGCAGGCGGCGAGCGAGCAGGCCAGGGCGACGATGCCGATGACGATGGCGGCGATGGCCAGGCCGCTCTGGGCCCCGCCGTCCGTGTCGCGGCTGTCGGAGCCCCCAGTGGGGGTCAGGCCGGTGAAGTCCTCCGTGGAGCTGGTGATCTCTGTGACAGTGGACACAGATGTGATGTCCGGGTACCCGGGCGTTTCGTGGTAGGTGGGCACCTCAGGGATAGGCGGGACGTGGACGCTGGGGACGGCGACATTGACGTTGATGATGACGAGGGACTGGCCCCGGAAGCTGGCGGGGCTGGCGCACACCGGGAGGCTGTCCGTCCCCAGCCTGGCCCTGTTGAGCAGGAGCCAGTTGCGGAGCGGCAGGATGTCGGCGTCGCATCTCCAGGGGTTGTCGTAGAGCCGCAGCTCGCACAGGCTGCCCAGGTGGTCAAAGATGCCCAGCGGCAGGTTCTCCAGCTGGTTGTTCTGCAGCTGGATGGTCGTGAGCCCGTTGACGTGGGCAAAGAGGTTTCCCGGGAGCTGGCGGAGGCGGTTGTTCTGCAGGGAGACGTTCTGCAGATTGGTCAGTGCGCGGAACACACTCCCGTCCAGGTCCTGCAGCGCGTTGCTGTGCAGGGAGAGCTCGCGGAGCTCCGCCAGCCCGTTGAAGGCGCCGGGGGAGATGAAGGTGATCTGGTTGCGGCTGAGGATCAGCACTTGCAGGTGGTGCAGGTTGCTGAAGACGTTGTCGGCCAGGGAGGTGATGTGGTTGTCATAGAGCCAGAGCTCGCGAAGGTTTTGCATGGGCCCAAAGACGCCCGGGGACAGCTCCTTGAGGGCATTGCCGAAGAGCGTGAGCCGGTTGAGCTGGGGCAGCTGCATGAAGATGCCCGGCGGCAGCTGGGAGATGTGGTTGTCGGACAGGTAGAGCCGCTGCAGGTTGCGATTATTGTGGAAAAGCCCGGGGGACAGCGCGCCGATCTGATTCTGCTGCAGAGCCAGCTCCTGCAGGCTGCCCAGCCCGTCGAAGGTGCCCATGGGGATGTCCGCCAGCCTGTTCTCGTACAGCCGCAGCACCTGCAGTTTGCCCAGGTGCTGGAAGATGCGCGGCGAGAGCTGGGTGAGGCTGTTCTTGCCCAGGTTGAGCTTGGTGAGCCCCACCAGGTGGTCGAAGACGCCGTCGGGGATGTACTCCAGGTGGTTGCCGTGCAGCTGCAGCTCCTTGAGGTTGCTGAACTGTGAGAAGTGGGCCGGCTGGATCTGCACCAGCTGGTTGCTGGATAGCAGCAGCGACTCCAGGTTGTCCAGGCCCTGGAAGAGGCCGACGGGCAGGACCTGCAGCTTGTTGTTGGCCAGGCTGAGGTACCGCAGCGAGCCCAGGCTGCGGAAGGTCCCCGGCAGGATGCTGGACAGGTCGTTCTTCTCGATGCGCAGGGCGACGAGGGCCGAGGTGTTGAGGAACGGGGACTCGTTGAGCTCGGTGATGTGCGTGTTGAGGATCTGCAGGCTCATGGCGTTCCAGGGCAGGGGCGTGGGCACCACCATGATGCGGGCGCCCGTGCACTCCACCTGCGAGGCCCGGGAGCAGGTGCACTCGCTGGGGCAGCCGTAGAAGGCCGAGGCGGTGGCCCAGGCCTGGCAGCCCAGCAGCAGGAGGAGGGCGTGTTTCAGCGGCATGGCCTGGGGAGGGAGAGAGCTTGGGTTAGTCGGGGGCAGCCAACCGACACAGGGCTACCAGGTTGGGTTTGGGTTTGGGTTTTCTTGAGACAGGATCTCGTTATCAGTCGAGGCTGGTCCTGAACTCACGCTGTGGCCCAGACTGGCCACCAATGCACGGAGATCCTCCTGCCTCGGTCTCCTGAGTGCTGGGCTTACAGCCATGTGCCACCACGCCTGGCGTCACGTGGCTACTCTGAAGCCAGCATCAACCTTCAGTTTCCACAGGGGCCCGGCTTGGAACCCCGTGGCCGCGCTCCACCCAGCGCCCCCTCTGTGCTCTCACTGCCCAGGCAGCTGCTGCTGCCACAGGCTCCTCGTGCTCCCCCAGGCCCTGCCCTGGCTCGTGGTCGAGCCCACGTGGGACGGCCTCTGCGACGTGGCCCTGATCCTGGAGTGAGCATCTCCGGCATCCGTGCAGCCACCACACCGGCCCCGGGCACGTTCACTGAGCTCCCAGCAGGCATCCTCTTCCGGCCCCGCACCTCCCGGAAGCTGGGCAGATGGCGTCCACCTCGGTGGCCCTCGCAGCCTTGTGAGGACCCCACAGCCGAGTGCGCTCCAACCTTGGGGAAGCGGCTCTTCATTCTCTGCCTGGCCGGTGCCACCCACCAGCCCCATCCCTTCACCCACATTTCCGTGGGGGCTTCACGGCGTTTGGTTGCAAGCACATGGCTGACAAAGGGCCACCATTTGCACTATGGACTTGAACTCACCCTGTGGCCCAGGCTGGCCTCGAACTCATGGAGATCCTCCTGCCTCAGCCCCACCAAGTGCTGATATTGTAGGCAAGCGCCACCACACCCGGCTAATGCTACTGTTGGACACTGAATGAGGCCGAGGCTTCTGAGCTTCCTGGTCAGCTAGGGGAGAATGCTGACCTCTGTCCACATGCAGGCTGTGGTGGGCAGCAAAGGAGAGGGGGAGGGCCCGGCACAGGGCAGTGCCAACAGCTGCCCCTGCCAGGCTGGTCCTGGACCCCGCTGGGGCTCTGGAAGAGCACGGGGTGCTGCCTGCCCTGCCCGGCTGATGCAGGGACCGGCATTCCCCACAGTGTGAGGTCCTGAGTTCAAAGGGACCCAGGCTTCCCTCCTGCAGGCTAAGGCATGGCCGCTTCTCATCATTTTATGGGGCTGCAGGAACCAGGGAAACCGAGGCTCAGATCTCACAGCCGGGTCACTGGACTCCGGGGTGAGCTCTGGGGCGTCAAGCAGTCTTTTTGATGAGCAGAACCCTGAGTCAGAGGGCCAAGTTCCGGGCCAGGTAGGGAGGGATTCTCCCCCGACCCCACCCCAAGCTGGAGCCCGAGTCCTAACTGCAAACCACCCTGGCCTTGCAGTCTGCCTCAGCCCCAGGCACCACCGGCACGGAAGCTTTACACTCCTTTGAAGCTGCCCAAGCCTCCGCCTGTTGTCCTTTCATCCAGGACTTGGCAAAGGAATGGGGGTGGGGTGGGTGTAGCACACACTGTGATCCCAGCACTCAGGAGGCTGAGGCAGGAAGGATCACCTCAAGGCCAGCCTGGGCTACACAGTGAAACCCTACCTTAAAAAAAAAAAAAAGAGAGAGAGAGATAGGAAAGAACGAGAGAGAGACTGCATGGCCCAGAGTCTAGGCACAAGAAGCCATGGACACATCTAGACAAGTGAACGTGTGCAAATATCAGCACCCAAAATAGAGCGCAGAACAACTGCTTAAAGAGGGGTGCCACAGAAAAAGCGGCTTAGCAAGGCATGGTGGTGCAGGGCCAGTATCCCAGCACTCAGGAAGCTGAGGCAGGAGGATTGCAGCCAGCCTGGGCTAGATAGTGAGACTCTGTTGGAAAGAAAGAGAGAGAGAAAGAGAGAAACAAAAGTGGTCCTGCCCCCCCATCAAGAGGAAGATTTGGGGCCTTGGTTCTGTTTCTGTTTTTACAGTAACAGAAAAAGAAGCCTGCCCACAAAAGCTCACGTGAGCAGGACCGAACTGACAGAAGTACAGGAGCAGAAAAAGGAGCTGCTCCCAGGCCACACTGCCTGATCTGGCCGCACCCGCAGGGCTGTGTTCACTTCTACTATGTATTTCAAAGCAGGCCAATGGCAAACTGGAATTTTTTTTCCTTTTTTGGTACTGGGGATTGAACCCAGGGCCTCTGCACTGAGCTGCGGCCCCAGCTGGTTTTCATTTTTTAAGACAGGATCTTGCTAGGTTGCTAAGTCGTCCAGGGTGAGTTCCAACTTTCGACCCTCCTGCCTCAGCCTCCCGGGTGCTAGGATTGCAAGCACAAGCCCAGCTCCAGCTCATTTATTTGTACTGTATACTCTTCTGCCCAGCAGGCTCTGAAGATACTGTCAGAGTCCAGCATTCTGTAATGCAAACAAGAGGGCAGGCAGAGGGTCCCCCAGGACCCCCCCAGCTGGGGACGAGGCCTGGAGCCAGCCCTGGGAAGAACCGTGCCAAGAGAACCGAGCCGTCACTCCCTATAGGGAGAGACTACACATGGCCATGGCGGCGTCTGGGATGGACCACACTCGGTGACAAACATCCCGAGAATCTGCAGCTGTCTTTGGGAGCCCTCCGCGTGCATGAGAAGCCGTTTCCTGCCTCCCAGCCCTGCCCGGCCAACGCCCTCCACGGAACCCCCTCTATCCAGTGCAGGCCCTCGAGGGACAAAGGGGACCCAAGCAGGTCTGCGGCCCTGGCATACAGCGGCCTAATAGCCCACGCCATCCAGGAGCTTGGCAGCCGTGATTTCGGCAGTTAAAGGACCACAAAGCTGCATAATTACACCCTGCCCCCGGGGCCGTGAGTGCCTCCTCAGTCCAGGCAGGGACTCGGGCCAGCCCTGTCCAGCCCCAGGCAGGGGGAGCACTGGCGTTCATCAAGGCCTGTGAGGTCAGCAAGCCAGGCAGACAGACAGAGGACAGACGGCCGGCTCACCTGGACAGGACGCGGCCCCGCCCCAGGGACAGAAGCCTCTGAAGCAGGGCGAGGTGGCCTCGGGACTCTAAGCAGAAACATCCTGTGACTCAGCGGGGAACACATAATTAGTCCGCAAGCCTTGGGCTGCGCTGGGTATGAGTTGGACCTTTCCTGGCTAATACTTAACATCATCCACAGGCCTTGACTTTCCCAGCAGAATCCTTCTCTGTTTTTTGTTTGTTTCTTTGAGACAGAGTTTCACTATGTCCTCCAGGTTGGCCTTGAACCCACTACGTAGCCCAAGCTGGCCTCAAACTCCCAGAGATTCTCCTGCCTCAGCCTCCTAGTGCTGGGATGACAGGCGTGTACCACCATGTCCAGCTCTGCAACCATCTCTCCAGGCTCGTTTTGTTTCAAGTTCCCTGGCAGGGCAATCCCACCAGAACAGGGAATTCACACAGCCAAGAGCTATTCCAGAGGACCAAGGACCTGAGATGGTCCTGGCTCAGCAGGTGCACCTGGGGAAACTGAGGGCATTGCTCTTCCTGGCCTCCTAAATATAGCCTCATGGGGAGTGAGCCGGACCCTGGTCAGGCTGCAGGCGCCCCCCTCCCGGCCAGGATCCCCCATGGACCTTGTGCAAAGGGCCTGAGGTTGCCATCTGAGAAGCCCTACCTGGAGCTCAGACTGCTGGATGTCTGGACCTCTCTGTCCTGCTAACCCTGCCCCTCCATCCACGGCAGCACACAGGGCCAGCCAAGGAAGCTTCCTCGCTAGACCAGACCTTACCACTTTCCTGCTGGGAGCATTTAATGAGTTACTACATGAGCCTGGTGTGACAGTGTTCACCTGTCATCCCAGCACTCGAGAGGCTGAGGCGGGAGGACCACTGAGAGTTCAAGGCCAGCCTGGGTTACATACCAAGACCCTGTCTCAAAACAAAACAAAACAAAAACAAAAAAGCACCCAGAGCCTTTTGAGACCTGGTCGAACCATCTCACCATTTTGTAGATGGGAAAATGGTCACACAGTCAGTTGAACACACCTAACACCTCTCAGGGACCCTAACTGTGGCGCATGGTGAACTCCTGAACCTTACCACAGGCTTCAGGAGTTGTCCACTGCCGTCTGCCTGTGCTGGTTGGAAACGGGTGGCTTTGTTCCCTCTATCTTTTTTTGTTTGTTGTTTTTTGAGACAGGGTCCCGCTATGTAGCCTAGGCTAGCCTTGAACTCATGTCAACTGTCCTGCCTCAGCCTCCCAGGTGCTGGGATTACAGGTGTGCACCCCTACGCCCAACTGTTCCCTCCACATTACACTGCCCAGGACTCATATACAACCCAACTTCCACTTGTCCAGCCCTGTTATCCCACGCCTCACCCCTCTCCAGTTCTGAAGCTGTGTAGTTTGGGGCACTTCTCCCCTAAGATGTTGCAGGGGGGTTGGTCCCAGTAAACCCTAGCAGCCTGGAGGAGGTGGGAAGGGACAGAAGCAACCACTTAAACCGATCGAGGCCCCAGGACAGGACCAGCCACGCCCTCACCCTGCACCTTGGTCCATATCTGACTCCCGACACTCTCAGCCCTGCAAAGCCAAAGTGGTCACTGTTCTAAGAAAGAAAGTGAGCGGAAAAAAAACAAACCCTTCCCAGTCCCTCTGTGGGGATCCTCCCTCCGGGGATGGGGGAGGTCGGACGTGGCTTCTTGTGGAGGCCAGAGCAGGGCTATAATTAGCTTGGCAAGAGCAGCAGTAGGGAGAACTTCCCAGGACTTTTATGTTTCAGAGGAGGGTTGAGACAGGTCTCACTATATAGCCCAGGCAGGCCCTGAACTCACTATGTAGTCCAAGCTGGCCTCGAACTCGAACAGTGATCCTCCTGCCTCAGCCTCCCAAGTGCTGGAATTATAGCAGTGCACCACCACGCCCAGCTCCCAGCGCTTCCCTGAAAGAAGCTAGGACCTGCAAACACAGCCCTTTCTCAGCAGCACCCAGGGGCCCAGCGCCGCTAGAACCGGATCTGTGCCTAGTCAAAGCACATCGGAGGCAGTTTCCCAAGCCCACGTCCCAACGCCAAGCGAAGTCCTGGAGTCCAGGCTGCCGTTCCGTCCCGCGGTCAGGATATGGGGAGGGGAACTGCAATCCCGGCCTCCCAGCGTTCTGCAGCTTCTCATCCATCCCTCCCATTCTCCACATCTGGACTGACTTCCGCCCGCAAGCTCGCCACCCTCCTTTCTGGAGCAGGACTAGCAGGGTTCCTGGGCCTGGGGAGAAGCTTCCCGGGCCTCTCTGGGGTCCACACAGAGCCCCCCCGGACCGACCTCCTGGCTCAGCCCGCCTCGGCACCGTCCCTGCCAAGCCAGCCCGGCTGAGTCAGGACCACAGGCAAATTGGGCTGTCTGGCCTTGAATTCGCCCCAGATGTGCAGAGGCTGCACAGCGGAGGACGCGCCAGCCGTTACGGGACGATGTCAGTTAGAGGCCGGGAGCGACCCACGTCAGGCGAGGCCATCCCAGATAACCAGGAGCCGGAGCGGGCAGGTGACACTGGTCCTCGCAGGGAGCAGCCGGTCCCAGCGACGCGCGTGCAGCGTCCAGGCGGAGAGGCCTGCCCAGCAGCGCCCTCCCCACCCTCCGCACAAGGCCACCAGCCCCAGACACCCAGGTCCGGGGCCACCAGACGGGGCCACCTAAGCCACACAGAGTCAGAAGCCAGGTACCCGGGTCGAAGCCCACGCCGGAGCCCGAACCTCTGCGGAAGTCACACTTCAGTCTGAGAGGGCCCCTCAGAACGCTCCTGGGACCCTGCGGACAAAGGTCTCGTGGGTCGGGACAGACCCAGACTCAGGGCAGGGTCTTCGGCCACCGCAGTCCGTGCGTGGAAAGGGGACACGGGTGCAGATGGCTGAACACGGAGACAGACCCCCATCCCAGTGGGCGCAGCAGCCCGAGAGGGGTGAAGCCTGGGACTGGGTGACAGCGCAGGCTGCGTCCTCCCAGCAGGGCACCAAAGCCTCCCAGCCCTGGCCCTCATCACCCACGGTAAGGACTTGGGGTATGGGAGGGGCGGGATCTGCAGGGGATGGGGGCGCCTCCGCCCGATCCCCAGCCCTGCACCCCAGCCCTGCACCCCCGCCCCCTAGAGGGGACGCGGGTTTCCCCTCCCCGCCCGGCGGCGCCACTCACCAGAGCTCGGCGCCCACGCCGCGGTCACGATCTCAAGGGAGCCGTGTGGGGCTCAAGGCTGCAGCATGAGTGCGGCGGCCCCGCGCGCCCCGCTTTTAAGCCGCGGAGTCGGGGCGGGGCCGGGCGGGGCGCGATGCCCCCTGGGGAGGACGGGGAGGGGCGTCCCCACCTCCGCTCGGTGTCCCCGCCTCGCACGGCACGCGGCCCTGGGAGCCGCCTCCCCTGCCCCGTCCTGCCCGGGCCCCCAGACCCGCGGGCGCCAGGACCCAGGGCCCCCTCGGGCCCGCGGAGCTGTCTGTCCGCCTCTCTCCTTTCTTTAATTTTAAACTTTTTTTAAGGACATAGCTTCAAATTTACAGAAACTTGGTAAAGATCATGCAAGGGACACGCAGGCTTAGCCCAGGTCACCCGCTGGTAGCATTCTGGAGAAAAGCATTTACCTTCCTTCCCGAGGAGCAGCTAAAACCATCCCTGGGTGCCCCCGAGACCGCGGTGTGAAGGGCCATAAACCAGAGGCGGGAGCTTAAATGCGCGGGGCTTCTCCTGCGTGGGAACCAAAGCGCGAGAGAGAGCACCGTAAAAGTGGATCCCAGGAAGGAGGCAGCAGGCCTCCCACACGGGAGGGGCCCGGGATGCAGCGGGAGGGGAAGAAGGGAGGGATGCAGACTGTCCTGTGCACCGGCTCTTCACAGGGGCCAAATCACTGGGATCGAAAACATGGACTAATAAAAATGTTTAAAAATTTTAAAAGTAGTGCAAACAGAAAGAAAGAAAGAAAGAAAGAAAGAAAGAAAGAAAGAAAGAAAGAAAGAAAGAAAGAAAGAATTATCCCTACAGGATCTCTCACAAACAGCATTTCCGTTTCTCTCTGTCATCTCGTCCCCCACCAAACTCATTTTGCCCCCTCTGGGATATGGGCACACACAGGTCTCCAAGCTGGGAACAGCAGTTAAGGGGTTCCCTGTGTCCCGCTCTATAGTTGCCCCTCTCTGCCACTGTTCCCTATACCTAGAAGGGGGATCGAGATATCACTACCGAGACAGGTATGCTGGCACACACCTGGAATCTCAGTACATGGGAGGCTGAGGCAGGGGGATCCCTGAGAGATCGAGGCCAGCATGGGCTACATAGTGAGACCCTGTCTCCAAAGAACAAAAACAAAAACAAATCACACTCCTGGGGAAAGGAGACAGGAATCCCAGCTGGAGCCCAGCTTCTGCTCAACAGGACGTGGGCAGCTTGGGGCCGAAGGCTCCCTCCTCGCCTGGCTCAGTTTCCCCTCCGCGCTGCGCGTGGAGAGCGCTGTTGACACACAGTGCCTCCCAGGACTCCAGGGTCTTAATTAGTGTTTGCCTGGGCTTTGAGACCTGCCATGAAAGAGGACATAAAAGTGTGCGGTGTCCTTAGGGATACAGTCATTCGGGTGGCCTGGCGCGGTCAGGCCCTGCAGCCTGACTCACGCGCACTGCTCCTGCCCGGCTCCGTGAGTCAAGCCGGACACAGAGGGCCTGGACCACACAGCGCGGCCGGGCAGGTGTGGGAGAGCTCCGCTGCCAGCCTCCTGCATCTGCTCTCCCCAGCGTCCCCTCCAACAGCTGTTCCCGCCGCCCCAACCTGCGCACCCTGCTGACCTGTTCCCCGTCCCGCCCTCTTCCCTGCCTTTGAGTCCCGACATTCGGCCACCCTCGGCCAGGCCCTGGGCTTCGAGCTGTGGACCACACAGGGATGGGCTCCAGGAAGTATCTGTGGGACAGAGACCCCCAGGGACCTCGTTCTGTCTTTATACCAAGGTTCTCCGCCTCACCGGGACATTTGGGAGCAGGTGATTCATTATGTAGCCCAGGCTGGCTTCAGACTCATAGCAATCTTCCTGCCTCAGCCTCTAGAGTCCTGGGATTACAGGCCAGCGCCAACACCCCCGGGTGCTTCTTTGGGGGAGCGTGGTTTCATCTCTGGCTTCTACCTTCAGGTGCCGCTTGCATCTCCCACCCAAAGTTATTGGCAGACGTCCCCTGTGGAGGTTACACACAAACGTGCACACACACACACGCACACACACACACACATGCACAGTTAAGAGCTACTGATGCATTAAAGAGCCCTATGAGTCATCACCTGTTTCGCAAACAAGGAAACTGAGCCCAGGCTGGCTAAGTGATGTCCCCGAGTCCTGCACCAAGTGGCAGAGCCGGGAGGTGAGCCCCAGTCCGCAAATTATGCACACCCCTGCTTGAGTATGTGACGTGTGCCTGCTGTGAGGGAAGGCGGCCACCTCTGGGGCACCCGGAGCGGGGACGTGGGGAGGAGGGGAAGCCCCGAGGCGTCCTCGGGCACAGCTCGGAATGCAGTGCGTTTAAAGGGCTGGCACCAGAGCCTGGTGGAGAAGACGGCCCTAAAAGTCGGGCAGGAAGCCAGCGTGATGGGGCAGACCTGTGATGCCAGCACCGGGAGGCTGAGGCAGGAGGATCACCAGCCTGGCTACACAGGGAGACCTTGTCTTGAAAACCAAACAACTATATATAAATGCACATAGAAAAAGGTTAGAATATGCACAAAACTGCTACAGTATCGATGGGTTTTTTATAAATGCAGTGGTTTTTATGTTGCATGGAAATAAACTTGCATTCTTGAATTGCGTCTAGTAGGTAATTAGGACAACTATTTTAAAATACAAAAATAAAGCATTAGTCAGTTATGGCAGCACAAACCTGTCATCCCAGCCCTCTGGGAGGCTGAGGCAGGGGGATAAAGAGTTCAAGCCCTGCCTGGCTAACTTGGTGACTTAGCGATACCTTCTTTGTCTCAAAAAATAAAAAGGCTCAGCGCAAAGGTCCTGGTCAATTCTCAGTGGTGAGGACAGAAAGGAAGCTCCATTTCTTCAAGGCTTGCTTCCTGTTACACTGAAGCCCGCCTCCCTGGAACCACCCCGCAGGGCTTCTGGCCCGCGCTGAGGCTCCACTGTGCCCGCCACTGGCCACACACAGCCCCCCGCCCCCGCCGTCCTGAGTAGTCACCACGAATCTCCAGCATCCGCTCAATGAAAGGCATTCCCGGGGACTCGGGCTGGCCCACAGTCCCAACAGGGCGAGGCCAGCCTGAGACAGCCTGGCCAGGGAGCAGGGCACACGTGGGCCACGAGGCAGGCAGAGTGTGAGGTGTGACCCGGCCAGGGATAGCAGGACACTGCTGCTGGGGACGGGCAGTTTGGGCACAGGACAAGGTAGGGTTGCCAGGGGAGGGGGAGCAGGGACAGCTCAGGCGGGAGGTGGAGCCCATTCACCGGAAACATAGTGATGGGTGTGCTGCGGTGCCAGAAGGGGCTGCTGGGATGCAGGTTAGGCCCCCATAAATAGGTGAGCCAAACATGGCAAGAGTTAGACCACATGGTTCATTTCCCACCTGGAGGTGGAATCACAGCTCGACTGTACTGGGAACAAGACCCTGTCTGTCTAGTCACTCTGGCACCCCACAGTTGCCCTTTAATGTCCAACATGGCTGCACTGCCTCCTGCCTTCACATCTGTATTCCAGCCTAAGAGGAAGCCAGGCTACTCAGTAGGTCTGAACCTCAAGCCTAAGCTGAAAGGGCGTGCTCTACGAGAGAGCTAAGAAGCCATAGATGAGAGACCTCCAAGTTGTGCTGATGTTGGAGAGCCCAGAGCTTCAGAACCTGCAGGTCAAGGAGGCAGCTCTACCTGTGAATTCCCTGTGCTGAAACTCACATACGTGGGCAGGTTCTCAGGGGGTCTGGGTAGAGCTAGGGAATGGGAAGGGGAAGGAGCCAGGTTGATAGTGCACAACAGAGATCCCAGCACTCGGGAGGCTGAAGCACCGATCGCATCAGGAGGATTGCCACAAGTTTGAGGCTAGCCTGGGCTATATAGTGGGACCCCGGCTCAAAACAAAACAAAACAAGCCAGGCATGGTAGTGCACGCCTATAATCTCAGTATTCTGGAGGCTGAGGCAGGAGGATCATTGCAAGTTCGAGACCAGCCTGGGCTACAAAGTGAGCTTAAGACCAGCCTGAACTGCATAGCAAGACCCTGTCTCAAAAAGACAAACAAACCACCAAAACCAAATCAAAACAAAATAAAACAAAGCGAGGCAGCCCTGGGATCTCCAGTATGACTGAGGCTGGCAGAAGAGGAGCCCAGCAGGGACGGAGGGGGGTCAGCAAGGAGGGCAGGGCGAAGGCCAGGCGGGGAAGGCGCGGCTTTCTGTCCCTGTCTTTCTTAACGGGCTTTATTGTGTCGAGCAGGAGCTGCAGAGCCCCCAACCTCCCAGCTGTGCAGCCCTGTCACCAGCGTCCCTCCCACAGCCGGAGTCGGCGCTATTGCCCAGAGCCTCGGTTTACCTCAGGGTCTGCTCGGCGTAGCTGGGAGCCGGTGCCGTGTCAGAGACACAGGGAGTGCAGCCCTGGGAATCGGATGGCACCGATCGCATCAGGCCACCGTGACCCGGGACAGCGAGACGTGTCGGGGGGCACTCAGCCTTTGGAGGGGATCATGGCAAGCAGTCTTTCACGTTTCTTAACATGTGAGCATTCGCCATGACCTTGGTCGAACCCCACTGGGAACAGTCTCCCAGCACGCGGGCTTTGTTCACGACAGAACCGACCGCAGCTGTAGGCGGAGTGGGAGAGACGGGGCGGGTGCAGTGACAACTTAGCGCTCGGGCCCCAGCAGCCAGGAGCCGGATGTGCGCTGTCACGGAAGGCGCCGAGCTGCCCGTGAGCCTCTGACCCCAGGGTGAGCCCGGCGACGGCCCCTCCACGGCCCGCGCAGGACTCAAGCGAAGCTCGCGGCACAGCTGTCCTCTGCCCTCCTCCGCCTGTGCGGGATCCACGCTGGCAGTCAGCAACAGGGACAGGGGTGACCCTGGAGGAAATGACTCTATTATCTCCCTTCGTGTCCCAGAGGGACAGGCTTCGGCCCATAGAAAGGGCAACATGCCTTCAGAGGGCAGGGACGCCGCTGACACACGCGCACGGGGCGATTTCATCAGGGCCACACCCCGGAGGCCTGTTACACGGACTCAGGAGGCCACGCGGTCACCGGGAGATAGGATCTCAGCGAGCCACCGCCGTGTGCGGCGGCTGTGGATTGAAACATCATGTGACACGCGGCGGTCGGAGCGCCTTCCTCATGCGGGAAGAATGAAGCCGGAAGCACTGGAACCGTGCACAGTAATGATGAGACAAACAAGTGAGCAGTCACCTCCCGGACATCCAGGGACAGCGCCCAGACTCACGGCCCTCCGCACCCGCTTATTAGTGGTGTTCCTCCGAGGCCATTTTCCTAAGAGCGCTCCTGCTCCCGGCCCGGGCCCTGGTGACGATGACGCGTCAGCCTGCAAGCGGTGGGTGGGGGAGAGAGTGCTGCTCCCGTGAGTCGCCACCTGCCAGCCAGCGGCCCGGCTGACGGGGACAGATCCACGCCGACGCCGCACCGTGCGAGACAGGCCAGTGGCCAGAAGCACAGGGACACGCCCACGCCGCCGTCACCACGGGGGAGCCGAGCGGAACCAAGCCCACCGTGGGGCAGCGCCTCGTGCCCTTCCTTAGCAGAGCTGCTGGTGGAAAAGAATAACCACTCCCTGCCCTCTCGTCCTGCCAGCGAGCCCAGCTCCTGCGGAGGCTGAAGCAGGAGGATCCGGAGTTTGTGGCCAGGAGACTTAGTGAGCCTCCTCTCCGAGTAGAACTAAACGAGCAGACAGAAAATGATGTGTGGGCACAGGGCCCTGGTGCACCGCTGGCAGAGGGGGAGAGAGTACAGCTCTGGTGTAAAACGGGACGGAGAGTCCTCAACACACAAAGCACAGCCTGACCATGTTATCAGCCAGGCCACGCTGGGTGCTCATCCGAAGGACCTGGAAGCAGAGCTCAAGGGGAGAATAGTGCGGCCGGTTCACACGCCTCATTCACAGCACCAGAGGGTGCAGGCAGTCCGGGCACCCGTAGACCAATAGAAGAACGAAGTGTGCTAGCCACACACCAGGGATTGTTAATCTACTATTATGTTTTTCTTTTCTTGAGACAGGGTCTCACTATGTTTTTTATTTGGTTGTTTTTTTTTTTTTTTTTTTTTTTGGTGCTGGAATCAAACTCAGGACCTTGTGCTTGCCAGGCAGGTGCTTGTGCCACTGAGCTATATCCCTGGCCCTAGGGTCTCACTATGGAGCTCAGGCTGGCCTCAGTTACTATGTAATTCCAGGTGATCCTCCTGCCTCAGCCTCCCGTGCTGGGATTACCATGCCCAGCTCAATTTTAAAAAGAAATTCCCGAAGGCGTTATGAGATGAGCCAATCCTAGAAAGACAAATACTGTGTGATTTCAGCTCTGTGAAGTCCGCAGAGACAGGCAATAGGATGGTGGCTGCCAGGCCTCGGCAGGGGGGGAGAGGACTGATCTTCCTGGTGCAGTTTCTGTTTAGGAAGATGAACATGTTTCACAAATGGGCAGTGGCAATCGTTGCACAAAAATATCTCGGGAGGCTGAGGCAGGAGGATTGCAGTGAACTTGAGGCCAGCCTGGGCTACACAGTGAGTCCAAGGCAGTGAGACTTTAAACTACACAGTGAAGTTTTGTCTCAAAAAGAAAAAAAGGAAAAAAAAAAAAGAAATGAGGGACTTAGGCCACTTGGGAATGGGCAGGGAGCCCCCCTTGGCCGCCTGGCCCGTCCGGGGGTGCTGCTGGAGCCATGAGGAGGGCCGGCCTACCTCAGGGTGACAGGAACATGAGCCATCTCTCCTGTCCCTGTAATTTTGCCTTTTATATTTTTTCACATATTCCTGCCGCTGACGGATGGCTTTTATGGTGGAGGAAACATGCTTCGAATTCCCCGTGCTGTAAAGACCCCGCGCGCCACGCGTCCCCTGCGGGGGACCTGGAATCAGCCCAGAGTGACAGCGCTGTGCTGCTTCCCACGGGTAACCACCGGGCTCCTGAGGCTGGGCTGCACCCGGGAGAAGTCGGCCAAGGCCGGGATGTGCGCCAACTCGTCAGGGAGCGTCATTCCCGCCCCAGGGGACCGAGACGCATACACAGGGAACACGAAGCACCCCAAAGCCAAGCCCCATAGAACCAATGCATCCTGAGTCCCCATGCAAGCAGGAGGGAAAGGTTCACCCAGTCAGGTCAGATCAAAGAAGGCAGGTCAGGGGGAGGGGAGGTGGAGCAAGGGCTTTGGAGGCTGGAATTCTGAAAGCCACGGGGCCAGGGTCCAGCAGGAGCCCTAGAGAAGGGCAGAGGGCCAGGCCAGGCAGGGTGTGGTGGTGCAGCTGATCCGACCAGGTCTGCACACTACTTTACCTTTTCCCATGGGTGACTAGGAATCACCCTGTGTGCAGAGAGTCTTGTTGCTTTCATTGTACAGGGACCTCCACCCCCCTGGACCCACAGACCTGGGGCTTGTCCAAGTGTAGCCGGTCGGCCAGGCACATGTCCCCTAAAATGTTTTTCAAAGCACCTCCCCGCCCCGTTTTTCCTCGGAGGGCCTGAGTGGGGAGCCAGACAGCAGCTGGGGGCGGGAGGGGGCGCAGGGTTGCGGGGGAGGGAAAAGTTCTCTTTGTCCCAGAGCAATTTATGCAACTAACATTTAATTGCAGGCTTTAATATGAGACTTCCAAATTTTACAGCGCAGTAAAACACGGCCGCCTTTGAAATGATTAAGCGAACGACATCACAGTCCTGTCACGCAGCTGCCAGCGCGTCACTGCACCTAATTAAAGGTCAGGCACCGGAGCTCGGACCTGCGTGCTCCTTAGTCACGGAAGGGCCTGCTCTGTGCTGCAGAAACACGGCCCCGCAGAGCCGCATCCTCCCGTCCTGCACGGCTCTTCACCCCCACCTCCAGCTCCTGAGCAGCCCTCGAAGGAACAGGAAGTGGCCATTCCCTCACCAGCAGGAGAACGTGCGGGTTCAGAGAGGACCTGAGGGCTGAGCAACCACTTCCCTCCTGCAGCCTCCGTCTTCCCATCCAAAAAGTGGGAGCGCTGGGCAAGGTCACTAACCATGACAGCCAGTTCTGCTGTGCACCAACCATGTCTTCTTCCCCTTGGTGGCTGGCCTAGAACTCCCTATGGAGCCCAGGCTGGCCTCGAAGTCATGGTAATCCTCCTGCCTCAGCCTCCCAAGTGCCGGCATGACAGGCCTGTGCCACCACACCAGCTCCCCTTCGCACCCCCTTGCCCAGCCTCAGACGCTCTTGCTCATCAGCCCTGCCCACCGCGTGTGCCAGCCTGGGCCCCTGGGCTCCATAGGGAGCGACTCTGCCAGCCCAGGTGGCATCTAATGCATGGGAAACGCCAGCCGCAAGCCCAGCTCCACTGCCAAACGCCACGGCCTGAATCTCAGAAGCTCGAGTGGGACCTCCCAGCGTGGGCTGCTTCCTTCCCAGCAAGTGGAGGAAAGGTTCACCCAGTCAGGTCAGGGGGGCCTCGGCTGACCCTGGAGCAGGGACTCTGAGCACAGGAAGGACTGAAGGACTGTTGCTTGGGCGACTTAGTGTGAAGACAGCCCTCCTTGGTGCGGCCGGGTCCCCAGGGAGCCTGTCACTGAGCCGCCGAGACACAAAAGGCGGCTGAGGCCAACGGCTTGGGGAGCTGCCTGGGACAGGGGTGCCGGGTTGGTGGAGGGTGCGGGCACACACAGGGAACAGACACCAGGCGGGCGTCTTGCACCTCAGGAACGCCTCGCTGGCTTCCCGGGCCAGGTGGTGGGTGTGACCTGCATCCCCTCCTCACGGAGCAGCCAGGTGACCCACCACACACAGCCCCTGTCCAGAGGGCCCTTCCAGGAGAAGCGAAGGGACCTGGGGGAGGGAGAGCAGCTGAGGCCCAGCTGGGATGCCACAGTGGCGCAGGAGAAGATGCATCAGACACACACAGGGCCGGGATACAGCTCAGCGGCATAAGCACCTGCCTGGCAATGCAAGGTCCTGAGTTCCGTTCCCGGTACCAAAAAACAAACAAACCAACCAAAAAAACCAGACACATAGCTGATCACTCCACTGGGCCGGGCCCAGCCCTGGAAGGTGCCCCGGAAGACAAATCTCAGGAGGCACCCACTGGTTTGGGGCACCCCTCCCCCTGGAAACAGCCAGCTGAGAAATGCCAGGCATGAGCCAGGTGTGATGGTGCACTCCTGTCTTCCAGAACTCGGGAGGCTGAGGCAGGGGGATCACAGTGAGTTGAAGGCCAGCCTGGGCTACCTGGTGAGACCTTGTCTCAAACAACAACAAAAGCTTCAGCCGCTGGTTTACCTGTTGGCTAGGGGGCGTGGATGTGTGCGCCTAGTGCCCACGCCAGCGCCGCACCTGCGTGTTGTCTCCGAGTGGGTAGGACAGCCCCCGCGGCTGTGCCAGCAGGGCCTGCGTTCCCGCACCCAGCGGGCTCCTTCCTTCCCCTGGGCAGGGCTCTGGTGACCAGAAGGTGGCAGCTACACCCCCTCTCCTGTCACCTGGGGTCTCTACAGCCTGATCCCAAACACAAAAGCCACATGCTCCGGGGGCACCAAAGCTCCTGGTTCCAGCCCCTCCTCCAGGACAGCACTGCCCGCCTGGCCTGGTCCCCTGCCCAGGAGGGGCAAGGAACCACAATCCACCGGACCAAGGAGCCCCGCTGGGGACGGCAGGACACCCAGGGCGAGGGGATGGGAGAGGACCATTCCTTCTCGATGCTGTGACAACAGCGTGGAGCCCGAAAAGGATCTCAATCTAAACGGATCTAAAATCCAGCAGTGTGCATTCCTGCTGAGCTCTGAAGGGGACTCTTCTTGCTTCGGCCTCCTTGGCCACAGCCTCAGTTCTCCCGGACACTCACCACCTTCTTCTCCATCTCCTCCTTTTTTGTTTGAAAGGCAGGGTAACCCTAGATAGCTCAGGCTGGCCTGGAACGGAAATCCTCCTGCCTCAGCCACAGGCTTGCCAGGATTACAGTTGTACACCACTGCGTCCAGCTTCCCTGCTTCCTTTTTCTGAGGAGGACACTTGGGATTGTGCCGGACTTTGTGGACGGTGCGGGTGAATCTTCCGCCTCAGGGCCTTCACCTAATGGCTTCTCTGAAGTCTCTTCTGCCAGCCGAGGTGACATCTGCAGTATGGGGACCAGACCGAGGACAGTTTGGGGGCCATGAGCCCGCCTGTCACAGCCAGGGAGCAGCTGCCTCTGCCTGGCCTGCCGGGTGACTCTGTTTACATGCATCCTTCAAGGCAGGACAGGTGCTTCACAGAGAGTCCGCTGGCATAAAGAGGAGGAGAGACCTAGAAGGAAGGAGAACAGCTTTGCATAGAGCACAAAGACAGGCGAGCTTGGCTAGTCTCTGCCCTTCGATTCAGTGTTGCTTTTCTTTTTCAGAAAGGCTTGGTTGCTCCTGGTGATGAGAGGCTCACTACCTTCCAAGAGGCGGCCTCCTCTGTCCCTTCCCATTGAAGAAAAGCCCTGATGTTCTCATCATCGCTGGAAAATTAACAGCCCCGGAGCCTAGGAGTAACGACAGAGGGGACTGGACAGGAGGCAGGGTCATGAGGAGATCTCTGAGGCACATCCTAGGATAGACTGTTCTTCTTGGTGTCTCTGGGTGGGTCTCCAGGGCAGGACCTGAGGCGAGGAACGCCATTCCCAGCGCTGGGGGTCAGCAGAACTCCACCAAGGCCAGCTCTACTCCCAGCCTGCAAATCAGCTGGGAAAGATGTGAACTGAGAGCAGGATGTGGTAGCTTGTGTCTGTAACCCCAGCACTCAGGAGGCTGAGGCAGGCGGATCACTGCAAGGTCTCGGCCAGCCTGGCCTACAAAGTGAAACCGTGTTTCAAAAGAAAACAACAACAACAAAAGAAAAAAATAAAAAGAATGCCAACTGAGGGGGGCGCAAAATAGAAATAGGAACCTGTTTGTTTTCTCTCCTGGCATCACTGGAAACCTAAGTTCCTCCAGGCTTGGAGCCGAGCAGAAGGCTCTGGGCTGAGGCTGGGGGCCCCGGCAGGTGGAGTCTGTGGAGGGAGGAGGGGATGGGGACAGCCACCTCAGAGGCCCTGCGTGCCTGTCTTCCTGAGCTCACTGATGTCTGCATGCCTGGCCCCCCTCATACCCTAAAGCACTGTCCTGGTCAGCCCTGGGCTGTGAAGGGGGCAGCCCAGACACGGCTTAGGTCTCAAATGCCCCCAGGCGTGGGGCGTTTGGAAGGGGCAGTACTCACCAGGGGCTCTGCCCGTGGAGAAGTGTGTGGCTGAAGGTGCCGGAGGTGCTGGGTCACTGGGACGGCTCTGGAGGGTGCTTCCCTCTCGCTGGCTCTTCCTGCTCTCTCTCTGCTTCTTGCCCACCAGCAGGTGAGCAGCAGGCCTCTGCTAGGCCCTTTTAGCCAGGCCATTTTTGCCCTGCAGCAGGGAACCATGGGCCGAACCCTCTGAAGCCATGAGCCCAATAAACCTTTCCTCCTTTCAGCTGTAGGTGTCCGATGTCTGTCTCAGTGAAGAGAAATTGAGCCGGCCATCCCTCTCTTCTCCTTCTAAGCTGGTGACCAGGGCTCCCCACACTGCAAAGCACCTTTCCACCCTTTACCTGCTCTGGTTCAGAGCACCCTGGTAAGGACTGGGAGACTGAATCAGCGGCAGAGCTGAGACGACTTTGCCATTCCCACCACAGGGGATGACTCCTGTGGGCTCTGGGTGGATCCTGCTGGGACAGGGCTGACCTGCTGCCACTTTAGCCTCACTGTCACTCAGACCCTACCTCCTTTCTCTCCCCTCTTTTGTGTGCATGTTGTTTTTGTTTCTTGGTGTATGTGTTTGTTTGTTTGTTTGTTTGTTTTGAGACAGGGTCTCACTGGAACTCCCAGGGATCCTCCTGCCTCAGCCTCCCAAGTGCTGGTATCACAGTCATGCTCTGCCACACCCAGCTTCCTGTCTCTTTAGTCCCTCTTCTTTCTCCTTCTCATCAGCCATGGCCCCCACAAATAACGCTCAGCTCTGAGGGAGACCCCTCTATCTTGAAGGGTTAGCACCCCAGCTCAGGAGGTTCCTGTGTATGCCCCTGACCAGTAGGTCCTAGCTGGGCAGCTGGTCCATCCACCCCAAGAGAGCCCAGGAGACTTGCATTGTGTCTGCCTGCCCCAACCCTAGCCATGTAGTTCCCAAGTCTGAGCCTCAGCGTTCCCATCTATAAAGTGGGATAACAACGCCCATCTCCCCAGGTGCTGGGAAGGGCTGGGAAAGTCACCCTCGTGACACCAGGAGTGTATCTGATGTTTAATAAATACCCGATGAAGGCGGCAGCCCTGGACCACAGGACCCTCCCACGAGGTGGCTTTGGAAATACCAGTGCCCATGCAGGACAATAAACCCAGCTGTCGGGTGGGCGGGGTGCAGGGGTCCCACCGCACTGCTCTTCATTTTCCCCCGGGCATCGGACTGGCCACCGGGCTCTGCATGTCTGTCTTTATGGTGTTGACGGACCATCCTGTGACATTCCAGTGCCTAATGAGGGGGTGCGGGCTGCTGGGCGGGAGCCTGGCCTCGCCCGCCGTGGGCACGCCCGGGAGAGGGGAGGTGTTTAGGGCGACTGCTCCCAAACACTCAAGGCAGCTCCAACCCCGCGGAGCCCAGCCTGCGGGCGCTGGGAGGCTAAGTCAGGCGTCCTCCGCGGGGGCCAGGAGGGAGGGGAACAAAGGCCAGCAGGAGCTCCGCACGGGCAGCCTGATCGTGCCCAGGAGACGCAAGGAAACATCTAGAGCTGGAGACTCGGAGCAGACAAATGGGTGAACTTCCAAACCTCAGCTCATCGCCGCTGCCCCCAAGGGGAGGCCACCTCCTGCTGGAGCCCCTGGTCCAGGCAGGCGGAGGGGCATGGGGACAGCAGTCAGGGAGTGACCGGGAAGCTGCCGTGGAGCAGGAGCCTCTGCCTCCCCCTAGGAAAACACACAGAAGAGTTACAAGGTGCTGACGAGGCCTGAGGAGCAGCCTTCTGCAGACCTCTGGCCTCTAGGGGCTTCGTGGTGCCTGTCAGCTCCCCTCGCCAACACCTCACTAGGAGCCTTCCAGTCCATAACTCCCGAGCGCCCAATCTCAGTTATTTGTGTTGCTTCACTTTTAAAATAGTCAGTCATGGTGGGGCACACCTGTAATCCCAGCACTCAGGAGGCTGAGGCAGGAGGATCACCGTGAGCTTGAGGCCAGCCCGGGCTACACGGTGAGTTCAAGACCAGCCTGGACTACATAGCTAGACTCTGTCTCAAAAAATAAAGCAACAACAACAAAATCACCAAACTTTAACTCTGATTAAGAATACAAAACGGATCAGTCTCACCGGAAGTTGGGAGGTGGAATGAAAAGGAGCACACAGGACAAACATAAATGCTGGTGTCCACACCCAGAGCATTCAGAGACTGTGAGAGCTGGCTGGCTGGCTGACTGGTGTACTAGGATAGAAGGTGAAATTTAAAGTCACAAATGTAGCAGGGCATGGTGGTCCGCACCTGTGAGCCTAGCACTCAGGAGGCTGAGGCAGGAGGATCCCTGTGAGTGTGAGGCCAGCCTGGGCTCCATAGTGAGTTCAAGGCCAGCCTGAACTATATAGAGATCTTGTTTCAGAAAACACAATAAATTACAAATGTAGAACTGCTTATGGTGCCAGAACTTCAAAGTTGAATCACATCACACTGTTGTTTTTTGGGTCAAAAGTGGTTAAATAAACCAGGTATAGTGGTGTATACTGGTAATCCCAGTACTCAGGAGGCCGAGGCAGGAGGATTATCCCAAGTTTGAGGCCAGCCTGAACTATATAACAAGACCCTGTCTCAAAAACAAACAAACAAAATTGTGGCTAAATAGCAGACATTTCATATTAGTAGAAATATATAACATCAGTAAATTAAATTTAACTACAATTTTTGGCAGTGTTGGAGATAGAATGGCTAAAAAAAGTTTTAAAAGGGCAAATCAAAAGTTAGATAACCAGATATAGAGATGATTGCCACTATGTTCAAAGAGGAAAGAAAAATCCATGCCACCTCTGGAAAGAGAAAAGCTGAATACTTTAAAATGGGTGGCTGGTAATTTTATAACTAAGTATGCATGCTTTTAAAAACCGATAACCACTAGAAAGGATTTTTGGCTTTCATTTTTTGGTGTGTGGGGCTGAGACAGGGTCATGCAATGTAGCCTAGGCCAACTTGAATTCATGGTGATCCTCCTGCCTCAGCCTCCTCAGTGATGGGATTACAGGTGAGTGCCACCATGCCCAGGAGAGAGGATAAACAACGGTACAATAGAGAGAAGTAAAAGCCAAAAAAATACAAAAAAAAATGCAAAATTGAACAAGAAAAAATAAAGATGATATAAGGATTTCTTGAAGGTAAAACTAAAGATCCAGTCAAGGTTTTCAATCTAAATAAAAAAAAAACACTATTAAAAACATTAGCCTAATAAATTTGAAGAAGTAGAGACAAAACGGATGATCTCCTAGAAAGTAATGTAGTGAGAGCGAGGGAACAGAAAACCTAGCAGATGGGTAATCCCCGGAAAACGCGGGATCAGTGGTTATAAACAAACGGCGCCCGCAGGCGTTGCGCACACTGGCGGCAGAATCCAGAGTGGCGCTGCATCCGAGGCGTGCGCTCTCGGCCTCCTGCGGCCTGCAGGGAAGCTTGGAGCAGCGATGGGAGCTTGGTTCCCCAGGTCGTGGGGTTGGGTGTGCTTCCTAGGAGGGGCCGGCAGAAAGAGCTGGTCGCAGGGGCACTGCCCCTGGAAAGAGCCCTCCCTCCCGCTCTCCCTC